GAGCACAGAGACTGTCACTGTATTTAATACATTCCATTCATACAATTTTAAAAAGCTTTAATTTATCGTTTTCTCTTTTATTTACTGTGTGTGTGTGTGTGTGTGTGTGTGTGTGTGTGGCAGGCTATGGAGGAAGTAGGGATGAGGCAGAGAAGGAGAAGCAAAAGAAAAAAGGTAGATGAGATAGAAAAAATAACTACACCATGAAGGTAATGAATGCAACCTGGAAAGAAAGTCATGAAGCATCTTGAGGAAGGGCATACCCTAGTTTCTGTTTGGGCTGTGGACTTCAGAATATATGGTATGTACTCACATGTCAGCTCTACTTTGGAAGTGATGATTAGCTAGCTAAACAGAATCGTGGTGCACAATCTTCCACGTGATTTTCAGAACCATCACCACCCCCACAAGAATTTGAAGTCACCTAACAGAAAATTATCCTGGAGACTTAAATAGCTATGAACAGTGATTCTACCTCATAGATTAGATGAGATCAAATCACAGGCCCAATTGAAAGAGAAACCAATGCTGAACTATGTGGCTGGCTCAGTGTAGACTATGGGTAAAGATCTGGACCTTGAAATTAGAGAGACTTGGATTTGCAAACCAGTTTGATCACTCATCAGCTGTTTGACATTAGCAAATTTACTTACATTCTCTAAGCTTCAACTTCATCCAGAAAATGAGAATGATAATGACACTTCCGAGTACTTTCATAAGAATTAAATGAGAGAACATATGTGGAACCAGTAGCATAAAGCTTAATTCATGGTGCTCACAGAAGGTGATGATAATTATCCGTTAGTTATAGGTGAGGAAACAATAAACTGGCTTGACTTGTTTTGCTTCTTGTTTGTTTGTTTGCAAGACTGGAACTAATCACTCAGAATAATGTCATTTTCCCTACTTTGAAAATAAGGCAAAACCCAATTTCTATTGCTTCTTTCCTTGGGCCAGTGGACAGCCTCATTGTTAAATGTTTTATTTGATTTTTCAGGAGAGACTTCACCCTTCACAGAGCTGCCTAAGGATCTGCCAAATTAAGGCAGCACAATGTTTCTAAGTTTGGTGAGCTCACTGGCATTGTTTTCCATCCAAAGATTTTTATTGCTAAATCCCACTTTTTTCCAAAAAAGAGAAATTCAATGCCCCCTCCCCCATGCAATCTCTGTTAATATTACTTTAAGCACTAGGTTAGAAATTTTCTTCCAGGATCTAGATCTTTAGTCAGGAAATATGTGATTGAGAATTAAGTTGGGAGCAAGCTCTTCTACTAGTTGGAACTGGGCTAGCTAGCTTTGAACCAGAGGTAACTTACGAGTTGTAGATACCTGTTCAAAGTAGCAAAGTGGCTGTTATTACAGAGACAGGAATTAGAAAGTGTCTAACTTATGAATACTTGCTCCACTTTTTTGTGGCATTCTTCCTTAAATATAGATACACAGTATTTGTATCCATACATAAACACATAGCAGAGTTACTAATTCTCAGGGATTAATTTAGGCCAGTCTAGAATTTAGGAAATAAAGCACCTGTTTTTATTATTTGGTATTAATTCCCTTATTAAGAATACAGCACATGAGTACTCTGACACAGATACCTAGTCAAAGGCCCAAAGTGGGCTCAATGATTATGGAGAAGGAGCTGAGCCTCACAGGGTTTGGTAATCTCCTGAAGGTGTCTGTGAAAACTGTATGCATATGTCTGTGTGTATTTATATGTTCATTCATCTCAACATTTCCATAGTCCCATGAAACAAGACACAAGTAAATCTTGTACTTTCATTACTACCAATATACTTTTAGAAGAATAATTACTGGAGAAATATAAAAGGAACCAAAAGTAGGCTACCACCACACATGAGAATGTGTAGAGCTCTCAGTCACGTGCTGTCTGTTTCCTGGGTGGCAGTGTAAAACAATCACAACAAAAAACAGTGGCCACAGATTGAGAAAGCAGGACTTGAAAAAAGTAGCTTGCCAGGTCCCCACATTTTCTGGTTAGGGACTGGTTGTGGATTTTTCAAGTAGTGGGGATGGAGAGTGTGAGATTGCATTTTCCTCTATCAAAGGAGTAAAGCGACGAGAGCTTGAGCGTCCTGGTTTTGATTTTGTTTTTTTTGTTTGTTTGTTTATTATTGCAGCAAAGCCAAGATTAACTTACAACTATTTTCTTTGCTCCTGTGCCTGGAGCTCTCTTAAGGGTCACTTGCTGGGAAATGCAGAGAAGACCCTCGGGATGCTGCAAGCGTGACCCACGTGACCACGTGACACCCCCCCCCCCCCCCTTGGCTGGCTGGCTGGCTGGCTTCAGGCCAAAACAGAGTCCAGTCGCAGTGAAGTTCTAGGGGGTGTCTGCTGTAGTCTCCTGGAAGTGGAAGGAGTTGCTCTTCACAGCATTTCCTCTAGCTAGCGCCACGGCCGCAAACTTCCAACCTGCGCCTCTCAGCCTCTCATTTCGCTGCATCAGCAATTCCAAATCGTTCTAGTTTAGGCAAACTTGTCTTTGAGAGGCGATTTTTCTCTGGTCCCTCCATAGCTCACCACCATGTTAGACTTCGTGTCAGATCGCAGGCTTCACGGCGGTTCCAGCATTATCCTTCACCCCCTCAGCTTCTGCATAAGGTCCACCTGCGTGGAGCACACTAATTTTTGCAATCGCACTGCCCTGTGGCTAAACAAGAACTGATTTCAACCCAAATAACCTTTGCTGCGCTCTACCGCCCCATTTCAGCATTTTCCAACTCCTCCTCTTCTTGCCCTCTCGCCAAGTCTGTGTAGGCTGAGTTTCCCGGTAACTTGAAGGGACTTTCCTCCCGCGGGCGCGCAGCGTGCCCAGGGGCCCCTCCTCTGTAGGTAGGGGAGATCCAAGCAGAGGTTATTTTAAAGGTCCCTTGCTCTCCTGCGTGTTTCACACATATGCCCCCGTGTGCAACATCTGTATTTTATGTTTTAAAGTGCTAAAGGAGGGAGCCAAGTTAATGAAACGTGGTTCTCCACTAAACCCTTGCTTAAATCCCCTCTGTATGACGGCTTGTGTTCACGCAATTCTTAATTAAGCAAAGCCTAGGAAAAAAAATCAAACTCCGCGCAAAGGTGGCAGATTCCACCCAGGGTTCAGGACTCCGCGAAGCAGTTTAAGAGAGTGGCTGGAGAAAGCCACAGGTTTCCTACATCGCTAAACCCAAACCCTAGAAGAAGCAAGTGGTTTTCTCCTTTGCACGCTCCTGGAGACAAAATTTAGAAAGGCTGCCTGCAGCCTGGTAAAATTCCTTTCTGCCTTCCTCCGCTTTGCATCCTTTCAATACTTCTCCTCATCTTGCCCGGTTCCCCTAAGACAGCAGGAAAATAGTTTTCCTGGCACACCCCACACCCACAACCACACACACTTGTGTTGCATCCTGGCCAACGCCCCCACCTAGTGGTTTGGGCTTGCCAGCCTTGCTTTCCTCTACTGTGATTTCTAAGAGAGTGCTGCAGTTTGCAAAAAGAAGAAGGAGAGGAAAAAGAGGAAGAAGAGGAGGAGGAGGAAGAAGAAGAAGGAGGAGGAGGAGAAGAAGAAGAAGTAGTAGTAGTAGTAGTAGTCGTCGTCCTCCTCTGCTTAGGCTCCTGATGTGGGTGGGTGGGAGGGATGGGAGGATGGGCAGGACCCCCTAATATGTGGTGCAAATGAGGCTTAAGGTTAGCCAGAGCAATGCTGGGCACTAGGGACAGGAAGAGAGGAAAGAGATTTTGCTTTTAACCCCAGCATGGAAGCTGCAAGGCTTCCAGAGGACATTTTTGGAGAACTGCCACCTGAAGGAGTACCTTCACTCTCAATGCAGGAATGTGCTGTTTTCTTCATAATTCTTAATGCTATCAGAACGTATACTAGTTTACTTGTTTATGTGGTTATTGTCCATCTACCTCTTCTAGAATATAAGCTGCTTGATAACTGGGTCTGGGTATACCCCATTATACTCCTGATGTCTAGAATTCGCAGCACAGAGAAAGCACTCTATTTTTGCCCTCCTGCCTGGTTTAGGGAGGAGGAAAATAAGACAACTTGGATTAGGGTTGCATCACCTTGGATAAAAAGCTCTTCTCTCAAAGGATCTCATTTATTCTTTGAAACTAAATGGATGGGTGAGATAATCTTGGGCCCTAGACTAAATAATACTCTTTAAAATTTGCTTCCACTTAACCTGATAAAGTCACTTATGACATAGGGTTCATCGAATGAATTATACCTGCCAAACATGGAGCTAGGTGCTAGAAACTCCCAGAGGGGGCTGAAAGTACGTTGCCCTTTTCTGGTGCTTTTCTTTAAACTTTGTCTGACTTGTACTTCTACCCTACATTGATTTCTGTTAAGGTTGGAGGAGGAAAATGAGCACCAGGGATCTGATCAAAGGTCATGGCACCTGGGAGCTGGCATTGCTTGGTGCCACATATAGCTGATATCCTGCTATATTTGTTGACACCAGAGGAGTCACACTGGTGGTGATGGTCCCAAAGCCCGTTTCTTTTTTTCTTTCTTCTTTCTTTCTTTCTTTCTTTTTTTTTTTTCTTCCTTTTGAATTTTGTTGACCTCCTTTCCAGGCAGGCTCTGGGAGGGAAGGTGCTTACTGTGAACTGTTTTCCACTGGCACTGAACTGCTGAGTGGCTGGAGAGGGAGGCTGAAATGGAAGGTTTAGTTTCACATACAGTAGTAGTCTATGGTTTGTGATACTTTCACATTTTTGTAGACAGTTTTTTTTCTCCCCTGTTGGCCCACAGTTAAAGGTGGGGCATTGAATGGAAAACACAGATTCCTGAAACCAGATGTGAAAAATTAGTTTGCATTGTACCAAGAGTTAAGTATGACTCGAAGCCCGAAGTTTAAAATGCACTATTGGCCATTTCCTTCTAAGGAGATATTACCGGTGCCTCCTTTTAACCTGGGTGTGGTCAGCAGGGCTGGATAAAATTCCTAAGTGGAGAGGTCAGAGCTCTGCCTAGCACTGGTCTGCTGGGGTGGGGGGTGGTAAGTAGAAGCCCCGGAAGGTAAGCGGGGAGTGTGCCTGTGCCCGCGGCCAAGGGCGTGGATCTAACTGGAGGGCCGCGCCGCAAGCTCGGAAGAGGACAGAGGCAAGGACATGACGCCCTCATCCCCAATCCTGGCCAGAACTGCGGCGTCTGGGTGTCAGGATTGGGAGAGGGGCCAGGGGATAGGTACTGGGGAGAGAGGGCGGTAGGACCCGGCGGGAAGCTTCCTTGGCCGGGGAGGGATCCGGGCGGGAGGAAAAGAGGGAGGGAGACAGAAAAGGGGAAGGTGATGGGGAGCGGGCGTCCGCACTTGCTGAGCCGCACGAGTTGCAGGGCTCGAGCAGACCGGACCTGGACTCTATAAAAGGAGCCCATCTGCTCTGCCGCTCACACGCTCCTCCCGGGCTAGCGCACGCAGCGTTCTTCCAGCTCCCCAAGACACCTGCCCCTTACCCGCGTGCCGCGCCAGGTCCCCCCGACCCGTGCGCCCAGCAGCATGGCTCCAAGCGGTGCCTGTGGGACCGAGGTGGTGGCGGCGGTGGCGGCGCGTTGCGAGCAGCCGCAGCCCCAGACCCCGAATACCCCCTCTGGCGGCCCCGTCTCCGCGGGGCAGCTCGCCGGAGTGGCCAGCGCGTGAAAAGAAGGGAGGGCAGAGCTCCCGCGCGAGGCGCGGCGCAGCGCGGCTCCCAGACTTCACCCCACCCAGCTCTGGCGGCCTAAGCAGCCGCAGGAAACTGCCCCAGTCTGGGGAGGGGGGCGGGAATGCAAGACCAGGACTCCTGGCTGGCCTGCAAGCTTTGGTCTCGACAGCTAGGAAACTCCTGCGGGCCGATTCTGCAGATCGAGGAGCGCCCGGGTTAGGAGACTCAGCCCCGAGCAATTGGGGTAAGAGACCCTACCTGGCTGATGCTCCTTCCTCAAACAATACAACGCCCTCCAGCACTAGACGCCTAGGTGGGATTCCGAGTGGAGCGGGGGCTCGGCGGGCCAGTCCTTAGCAACCCAGGGCTAAGACGGGGCGTGGAGAGGAGCAGGCTGGGACGCGGCGGCAGCGCCTGGCGCACTGGAAGTGCAGAGAACGCGCTCGCCTGCCTAGGCTGCCGCGCCCTTGACCTCTAGTTTCAGCAGGAATCTGGGTGGAGGAATAATTGAGGAGCCCACGGAACTGACTAGCAACCGGGAGACAAGACTGTGGTCTCCGCGGTCCTGCCGCCCTTTCCTTCGTTTGCTCCATGCCCAAGAGCTACGCTCCAGAGCCGTGGCGAGGAGAGGCATGGAAGAAACCGGCGCACGGTGCGCCCCGCCGCCGCCCGCGGGCTCCCAGACCGGGGTTCCTCAAGCCAATCTCTCCTCTGCTCCCCACAACTGCAGCGCCGAGGGCTACATTTACCAGGACTCCATCGCCCTGCCCTGGAAAGTACTACTGGTCATGCTGCTGGCACTCATCACCTTGGCCACCACGCTCTCCAATGCTTTTGTGATCGCCACTGTGTACCGGACCCGGAAGCTGCATACCCCAGCCAACTACCTGATCGCCTCCCTGGCGGTCACCGACCTGCTCGTATCCATCCTGGTGATGCCCATCAGCACCATGTACACGGTCACCGGCCGCTGGACGCTGGGCCAGGTGGTCTGCGACTTCTGGCTGTCGTCGGACATCACCTGTTGCACTGCTTCTATCCTGCACCTCTGTGTCATCGCCCTGGACCGCTACTGGGCCATCACGGACGCCGTGGAATACTCAGCTAAAAGGACTCCCAAGAGGGCCGCGGTCATGATCGCGCTGGTCTGGGTCTTCTCTATCTCCATCTCGCTGCCGCCCTTCTTCTGGCGTCAAGCCAAAGCCGAGGAGGAGGTGTCGGACTGCGTGGTGAACACCGACCACATCCTCTATACCGTTTACTCCACGGTGGGCGCTTTCTACTTCCCCACCCTGCTCCTCATCGCCCTCTACGGCCGCATCTATGTGGAAGCCCGCTCCCGGATTTTGAAACAGACGCCCAACAGGACCGGCAAGCGCCTGACCCGAGCCCAGCTGATAACCGACTCCCCCGGGTCCACGTCCTCGGTCACCTCCGTTAACTCGCGGGCTCCAGATGTGCCCAGCGAATCCGGGTCCCCCGTGTACGTGAACCAAGTCAAAGTGCGAGTCTCCGACGCCCTGCTAGAGAAGAAGAAACTCATGGCCGCTAGGGAGCGCAAAGCCACTAAGACCCTGGGGATCATACTGGGAGCCTTTATCGTGTGTTGGCTGCCCTTCTTCATCATCTCCCTAGTGATGCCTATTTGCAAGGATGCTTGCTGGTTCCACCTGGCCATCTTTGACTTCTTCACGTGGCTGGGCTATCTCAACTCCCTTATCAACCCCATCATCTATACCATGTCCAATGAGGACTTCAAACAAGCATTCCATAAACTGATATGCTTTAAGTGCACAGGTTGACTTGTCAGTTGCAATGAGGTAGCCTGAGCGGCCTTTGGGGACCATGTTGGGTCTGGTTCCACAGGTAGGTCGACTCTTCTTTCACTGTTACTGGGTCGGATTGAGACTCTGTCTTCTGGGCAAGGGCAGTGGATCCTGAGAAGCCAGGACAGCCCTGAGAGAGAGAGAGCTCTGAGAGGAGAACTGTTCTCACTAAAGGTAGAGCTTCCCTGCAGGGGAAGGCTCACTTCGTCCCCTCAAACTCCAGGTCCAGCACTGACCCTGCAGCAGCCAGTCACAGGGGAGGGTTGTAACTTTTTAAAAATCAATGAAGGAAGGGGGATCCCCGCCCTGCTTTGGTATCATGGATCATGCCCTCTAGAACCCGTGGTACTTGTAGTTGTCGGAAGCCTGTCTGAGATCTACATACAGCCTGGCAGTACTTGAACTAGACGCATAATACCCTTTGTTTTGGGGAGAACTTTGTGTTACAGCCTCATTTCAGAAGAGTTACTTTGGCACCCTTCAGTCTCCAGTTTTTGTTTATTTAAACTTGGTTGGAGAAACTTGTGGATTTGGTGCTTCAAACCTTACGTGTGGCTTGGAGGATGCAGAGAAACCTTGAAGAGTTAACAGCAAAATTCTGATGTTAAGATCTCTATTTTTATTATAATTGAAACTATATGGGGTGGGTGGGTGGGAATGGGAGATGGGAAGCATTAAACTGAGAAATCCACACCTATGATTGTTTGTTTTCTGCAGATTTGTAATTTTTTAAAATTCCTATTTAGTGATTGTCAACCCACATTCTAACAACTCAAACAAAACATTATGTGTGCTAGTGCCAAAGTCTGCAGATTGCTTTATTTTTCTTCCTAATTTCATGTACCTGTTATTTTACACATTTAAATCCTCATAAATGAAGGATATGATGGGTGACTCAGCCCAAGCTGCTGCTATATTTCTTACTAATGCAGTCGCTTAAACTGATGAGTATAAACTGCTCCTTAACAGGGAAAGTATTCTTATTCCTTGTCCAATTCAGTGAGATGTAAAGGAGACGGCTAAAATAGAAATGGTTCTTCTATAACTAAGGAATGGGGGGCAATAGGAGGATGTATATTTTGACTTGTAAAAAATCTTAAATGCATGAGACTTTTTTCTGATAGTCATTTACACTCCTTCCCATCTGTAATTCCTTTGTGTGCTAACATATAAAACAACCAAGAGAACCAGCTCCTTTCTCCAAAAATCTTCAAAGTGCAGTATGAACCCCAAAAAACTATATTAAAGGAAAAACTTTTGTTTATTTTCCCTTGCTATTGAAGTTTGGGTGGGAACAAAGATTTATTAGTAAAGGACATGCAAAGACTTTATAAAAGCTCAGAGAAGCTAAACTTGAGCCTGTTTACTCATGGAACCAAACCTGACTTAACTAGGCAATCAGGGAACTGATAAGCTTTTGAACCGGGGAAATTTGTCACTGACCTGATACCTCAATGAATATAATAAAAGTAATACTTTATATTTATCTGTCTTTTCAAATTTCAAAAATACTTAGTTGTTGTCTCAAATTCACTCTGAGGACTCTTCCAACACAGGGAAAGATAACACAACAAAAGATGAAAAATACATTATCTAAATAAAAAGGAGTAGCCCTGAAGGATCCATCTGCACAGGAAAAAAAAAAAAAAAATTCTGTATGTGGAGCATTTAATATGCCAAAGAAGATTCACACTCCATTCTTCAGAGAGCTTTCTGCAGTTTGATACCTTTTGTCTGCAGAAGCAAGTTGTCTTTGTAAAATGAATTCACTCCCTGCTTGAAGCTCCCCAGTCCAGACTGTGAGACAATAGATGTATTGAGCTGAAGTACACTGCTGCTTTCCTACTGTGCAGACCTTTACTCTGGGGTAACGACTCCTGAAAATAGACTATTCAAAAGTTCACACATAAACTAAGTAAAAAGGGGGATTTTTGATCAACATGTACAGCTGTCGCTGGAGTAAAATAAAATTTTAGGCATTAGACAATCCCTATATTTCTGTTACAGCCCCAGAGTTTTTGTATATTTTGTGACATTTCTCCTATGGAGACATCTAGCTTACTACTGATGGGAATGTACATTCAGCACGGTACTTGTTTCTGTGTTACCAGTATGTTTGTCTTTTGTCTATGCAGCTGTATTTTCTTTGGGCCTAAGAAACAATTAAGCCAACTTCTAGGAGCTTGAGGGGGGAAAATGAAGTGAAATAAATAGCTACTTACAAATGACTTCTTTACACGGCACCTACATGATTGTGTCCTATAAACAAAACATGGTCTACTTGGTCACATGGGTTGTTTGCCATTTGTAGATTACCCACTTAACAGTTTTGCTTTATTATTTGGCCTAATTGACTGAATTTGGGGCATATTGTGTGAAGTAGAAGCTTGCAAACCCTTGTAGTTATAAGAGTTCTAGAATCATCATCCAGCATTGCACTTGATAATGCAAAGTGTACTCATCCCAGGGGCATGTAGTTAAGGCTGTTAAGTTCCTTGTCAGTTACTGCTGCCTCTAGCATAGTTCGTTTTGTAAACTAGACATACGGCTTTTTCGCAGAACATAAAATGGGAGATGGAAATGTTAAACTTACATAGAAATGAAAATATATTTTCATTGGCTGCGATAACAACTAACATTTGCCATATTGTTTAATTGCACAGAATTTCACACAAATATATGAATGTATACTCATTAAAAAATACCAATATTGTCTTGTGTTTCTAGGAATTTTATTAGAGTTTCCTTTTTAAAAATGGACACGGCACCCATGAATGAAGGTTATGGAGTTCAACAAATTTCCTCTAGAGTAATATTCTTCACTTTTCCTCTCTATTATCTTACTTTTTATTTTAACCAGGAAACCCTGAGAGGACTATAATTCACTCAAGCGGTAAAATCTCAGATTATGTGTATTTGATGGAGTTGCTGTGACTGAAAATTGCCTTTGGTGTTCCACCTTTCAACAAATGTGTAATTGGAAATGACGTTTAGGAAACTAATGAAATAAAGTCCTTTCCGTGTTCAAAAAAGAATGGGTGGTGATTCTGTTAGTATGGAAAGATTGGTTCTTTGGATTCTGTGTTGCATTTAGGACTTCAAACCTGCAAGAGAGAATAATTGATGAGAAACGAGACTGTGGTGGACTGGCATCAGTACTGCCATAATTTGGGGGATTTTGTAGGAAGGGTTTGAAAGGAATGAGGCAGACCATGCTCTCACATGCTGCAAAGGAGGTAAGTCAGATGCACCATCACAAGAGTTTTCCGGACCCCTCTTTTTAAGAGGGAACGTTTAGTCTGTAGGCTAGATAGTGGGATTCCAAAGTACTGCCTGGTGCTTGAAAACAGAAAAAGGAAACAAAGAAGCAGAGTTAGAGGAGCCTTGGGAAAATGTGAGAGGAGGAGACTGACCTATGGAACAGCAGAGGAGTAGACACAAAAACAGCTTTGGAATCAAAAGTCCTCAGTTTGAATCGCAAATAGAGTGCCTTACAGTGGTGTGGCTCTCCTCAAAGGCAGCTTACTTGGAATTCGTTGCATGCACCTGTGCCTGTAACGCACCTATCAAAATACCTGACACTCAGCACATGTCCTTCCTTGTTAGCCATGATTTCCCCATTGCCTCCATTGTGGTGCAAGGCTGTAGCTTAGAAAAACTGACGGCTATTGGAGGGAGGTTGGACTGGGGAGGACCAAGCTAGCCTGTATGGGAGAAACTTGGCTAGACCAGAAGTGATGGAAGTTAGGAGTCTTTTCACACTTACCCACTTAGGCTAGTGAAAAATAGCCCAAAGGCCAAAAGCGGACATGAGGGTTGGTTTGCGGTGGCCCCAATGGCCAAAAGGAAATTGCCACATATTTAATGTTCTATACCGTCCTCTTTCTTATTCACTTTTAAACTCTTCTTCCTCTTCTTTGTCTAGAGATTTCCCCAAGAATCCAAAGCCTCTTTCCACATCTGCATCTTCCCTTAGTGTTTCATTTTCCTTTTTCGTGCTTTTCTCTTATGAAGAGAGAGCCATGAAGAGCCATGATAACCAATGATAACGTGTTGATCTAATATGGTTCTTATTTTAGCTCTGGAGGGATGATTTTACATACATAAAAAAGTTGTTGATTCAAGTTAATGTGTAATTGGTGGGGGGTAAAAGCTTTTAACTGGGGCATCTACTGGAGCTTTCAAAAGGGTAGAGGCTGGTAGGAAGAGTGGGTGGCAAGTGAAGCTTCTTCACCCTTCATGAAAGTCCATCCTTTAACAGTCCACCAGGGGGCAGAATGCCGCTGAGTTGTTTCCAGGATTCAGGTGTTCACCATTGACAATCCCTAACTCCTTGGATACTGCAAATGGTAATTGACTTCTCTAGACTCAGTGAAATGAAGATCCATGAGCCAAGGGATGGGGGGGGGGATGGGGGGGCGGGGGGGGGCTCATCATTTATGAAAAGAGATTTTTCAGAACTGCAAATTCAGGCAGAGGATCCCTAAAATAAACCTAAAATTTTTCTTCATATATGCAAAATCAATTATTTTCTTACTCATCTCTAGGCCTGGGAAATGCTAAAATCTTGGTACTTACAACATTGTGACCTTTGATTAATGCGGCAATGGATGCATTCAGAGGTTAGAAGACAAAGAATTTATATTCAAATTAAGGAGGGCTAATTACTTAGATATATCATTTTCCACCATGATTTTTCTCACCGTTGTGTTTTTCTTTCTGAAATTTCATTGGTTTGAGGCTGATACATCCATAGTTCAAAGGTAGAACATATGTCATTTACCATTTAAAGAGAGGACTGTTTTCTGGTGCATGTGTGTGTGTGTGTGTGTGTGTGTGTTTGCACAGAAATAAGGTATATTTCTATGTCAGTTTTTCCCAGAAGGCTGTGTAATTTGGGCATTTACTTTAAAAAGAGGCACATATCAATGTGAGTACAATCTTATGTATCACAAACATAAATTTCTGTGTCAAAGAATGGATCATATAAAATGAGAAAATAGGTTAGGTTTTATCATTGCCATTCCTCCTTAACTGTTCTCCCTAGCATTTTCATGATCCCCAGAGGAGAGTTTTCTATGTGCCATTTCACACATCTGTCAGTTAAATCTGACTTTCAAAGTCAACATCCACACTTCAGGATTATAC